GCGGTGCCGGCTGCTGCTCGCTGGGCTGAGCGGGGCCGAACCATGCGCCTTCCTCTGCTGGCCGGGGGGTTTTCCTCCCCTCCATCCCGGCTGTAACTCCTGCCCCGCTGCCCCGCTGCCCCGCTGCCGTTTCCCAGCGTAGCTGTGGGTCAGGGCAGGGCGTGCTGGAGGGCAGCGGTGTCCCTGGGCACGGTGCCCTGCCCGGTGCTGCCGGTGGGTGTGCGTGGGGGGGGGAGAGGAGCCCTGGCCGGCTGTGCTGCCGGCTGGCTAGCAGCGGCGGGAGCGGCTGAATAACCCTGTAACTGGTATGAAGGTGAATTCACGGTCTGGTGAGCACTGAAAATACGAGGGCTGCGAGACAGGCGGAGCGCAGAGAGGGGAAGGGAGCTCACCCTCGGCTCAGGGCAGCGCTGCGGGGCCGTGCTGGGGATGAGGCGGGTGCTCGGTACTGCAGAGATGGGCGCACACCGACACAGCCATCGCACCGCAGCACGGACAGCCGCACAGCACCCAACGGCACGGGTGCACACGGGGTGCCCCGGGCCGCGCACACTCGTGTGCACAAGCATGCGTGCGTGGAGGTGGACCCGCAGCCACGCGCACAGCAAACGCGGTGCTGAGCCGTCCGCAGCAGGCTGGCTGTCAAGGCAGATCGCTCTCCGGTGTAAGTGCGCGCCAGTCGGGCAGCGCAGCAGATTTATCCCCACGCATCTTGAGCGTCTGTGCGGTTACCTGCCGCGTGCAGGAGAGGGCTGCGGGAAATCCATTCCCCTCCAGCTGGGAGAGGCCGACGCTCGCAGTGCCGGAGCTGTGCGCAGAGGGAAGCCCTTCAGCTCTTCAGCCGGTGATCTCCCTGCGCCCAACCCTGCCACGGAGGGCACTGTGCCGGCAGCTGAGCCGGCGGTGATTTCGAGTTAGACGTTTGCAGAGGAGACTTGGATTAATTCGTAGTAAAACCCAGCAGCGCCGGGGTGCCGGCCCCACATTCCTGGGTGAGCCGGCGGCCGAGGTGCGCGCTGGGCGGGCGCCAGGTCCTGAGCAATCCCCGCGGAGGTGGCAGAGCCATCCAGCCGCAGCCTCTCCCTGCTTGGGCTCCTTCATTATTAATTTATTTTTCTCCCTTCCTTGGCAAAAAAATAGTATTTGGTAACGACCTCAAATTGCAAAATGCTGATGATTTGGAGAATGTGTCACAGAAGCTCCAGGGTGATAAAGGGGAGACAAATCCCAGCCAACAATCCGGCTCAGCCAGTTTGCCTATTTATTAAAGAAAAAGCCCAGATCATTAACTTTTTTTTTGTTGTTGTTCTGTTTGCGGGCAACTCCCTGCTGGCAACTTTCGGGCGCCCAGTAAATTAACCCGAGTATCGGCCTGGTTCGGGGCTGCCGCAGTGTCTGCTGACGGCTGCTGGGAGCTGCGCTCATTTGTGGTAGCGCAAACGAACCTGTGAGGGTCCCCCCATGGAAGTGCTGGCAGAAAATCCCAGCTGCCCTGGGGAGGGTCAGGCTGTAGCTGGAGAGCCGCTCTCCTCCCATCGCTCACGCAGCACACGGCCCCTTTGGCACCGCAGGGCTCTGTGGGTCCCCGAGGGGCACGGCTCTGTGAGTTGGCCTCTGCCTTCTTGGTGAGCGTTCAGAGCTGAGGGCCTCTGAGCACGATTGCATCCCCCTGCTCCCAAACATCCCACGTGTTCACTGAAGCAGTGCTTTGAGCTAAATCAGTTTGCTGAAGGCTCCAGCTTCCCTGAATTCGATGTCAGGACCAGGCTTGCATGGCTGTTATTCAAGGAGCTTTATCAAAAGCACGAAGCTAGCATCTGCCCTGTGCTCCCCTCTGGGCACCAGCAGCAATCCGCCCTGGCTTTGGCACAGCAAGGAACTGCCCCACGGAGTGCAGCTGTGGGCAGAACTCGCGCAGCTCCTCCATGGCAGCGCATCGCCTGGCCCTGGCACAGCTGAGCTCAGGTGGGGAAAGGAAGCAAAGGCGCTGCTGGGCTGCCGGCCTCCCCACTGCTGCACCCGGCGCTGGGTTTGGGTGTTGCTTTGGGCTCCCGCTCCATCCCTCCTTGGGTGCTGCCTGCTTCCCAAGGCCTGGCTCGTGCCCTCGCGCGCAGCTCACGCTGAGGCCTCCCCAGCCCTGCGCTCACGTGGGCGCTGCTGGGAGGAGAAGGGTATTTTTCAAGGTTTCTGCGAGGTTTTTTTCTTATGAAACACAAGGATGTGCAATTTTTTTAGTTTCAATTTAGCATTGGAGAATTTTATAATTTAGTAATTAAAATCTCTGATAGGCTTTAGAAATTGCAGCTAATTGAATTTAATGGGAAGATGATTTTCAATTTTATTTGATTACCCGGACCCCTGGCATTGGTATTTATGGGAAAAAAATGGGAAATGTGCTGTGTGGGCTAAGATGGTATAATTGAATTAGGGCTAATCGGATTTCTTCGTCATGAATTTCACTATAATTTTCCTATAATTTTCCATTAGATATCTAGTTTACAAATATTCACAAAGAAATGAAGCTCTTTCGGAATGGAGATTGCTGGCTAACAGGATTACAGGGACGATAGCTCGGCACTGCCAGCCCGGGCTCCTGCAGTAATGCAATCGCTGCGTCTGCCTCACACTTCCCGCCCGCCGCTGCTCCTGCACCCCGACGGCCTCAATGGAGCTCCCGCGGGGCCGCATCGCGCCGCGCTCTGCCTGTCGCTCGGCCCCGCACGTGTCCTCGTGCCCTGGCTCTGTGTGGTGTCACCCACGTGTTCAGCAGTGTGCTGCTCCGCGGCCTCGTGGCACAGCGGGGTCAGCTCGTGCAGATCCAGCACAGGTAGCGCCCTGCTGGCGCCCGTCACCGTGCCACGCTGAGGGGACTCCGTGTCCCCTCCCTGCGCTGCTTCATCCCGGGGGAGAGGTCCCACCGCTCGCAGCCCTGCGCCTCTGTTCTCTGCTCTTGGTGCTGTGGGCGCAGATCGCCCTTCTGAGCCCCCTGCCCTGTGGGAAGGGCTCTGCCCAGCTCAGCTCTGCCCAGCTCAGCTCTGCCCTCGGGCCGTCCCGCTGTCCCTTGTGCCATGGGGCTGGTTCTGCTCTGTGGTGCCCAGGCTGTGCCGTCCGCTCCCTGGGCTCCTCGGGCTGCGCTTTTAATCCCTGCAGTAAATTGCAACTAATTGGTCAGGAGATGCAGCGTTTGGCTCCCAGGTGCTGGGGGCTGGCAGCCCCACATCAGGAATCAAGACCGAGGCACAGCACCTGGCACATGGAGGCTGGGCACGGGCATGTTGGGAGCTCTCAGGCACCGTGTGCCAGTAATGGGACTGAAACTGAACAGAGAGGGAAGGAGGAGGAAAGGGAAAGAAAGCTTGGATTGTCTCCTCCTGCTGCCCAGGCCCCAAGGCCTCCGGGCACCTCCCTTGACAAAACAGAAATCAAACAAAATTACAGAAACAGGGAAAGAGCATTTGCCTAATAAACTCCCCGAGCAGGAGCAGGAGGCACGCGGCGCTGCCAGATCTCCAACCTGCAATCTGCATGGCAGCGCCAGGAGCCCACGCGGAGCCCCAGCGTGGCCCCGGGGTCAGCCCCAGCCAGGAGCTGCCAACAAAAAGGGCTCGTCGTAAAGAAACAAAGGGGAGATGCGTGGAGGGGGATACCCCACGTACGGGTGTGACTCACCCCCCGCTCAGCCCCAGCGCACCGTCTGCGGGGAAAGCATTAAACTGTAATAATAATAATAAATTAATCATCCTTCCCCCTCCCATCGCACTTTTCATCTGAGGATCTCTGAGCACCTGGCAAACATTAATTACCGAGAGCTCCCGACACCCCTGGGAGGGTGGGAAGGGACGAGCGGCGTTCACCTGCCACCAAAGGGCGGCCAAGGCTGGGTGTGGGTGCACGGGGATGGGGCAGAGGAACATGGGCGCCCTGATGTGGGGTCCCCGATGGGCACAGGGCCCGGCTGTTCTTGGGTAAGAGGCAAAGAAGGGAAGATGGGGAAATAAAGCCCGATCCTGTGACTGGAGATGGGGAGATAGGAAATCGGGCCTTGCCGTTGCGTCAGCTGCAGGGCGTGGACTTCACCTGAAAAAGCACCGTGGCAGCAGGGAGGGGTGGCGGGGAGACCGCCAGGGGTGGCATGGGTGGTGTGGGCGTCCCGTCCTTGGCAGCAGCACCACCGCCAGTGCTGTGAGTCCGTAGAAGTGGAAATGGAGAAGTGCGGTGGGCAATGAAGCTGTGGGGCATCCGGGGCCTCAAACCTGGCGGGCGTCAAGCCCAAATGCAGCCGCCAGGGGCTGGTAGGGTGGGGGGAGGCTGCTGGGGGCCTGGTGACACGGGACCTGGTGACACCTGCCCTGGCTCCCTCTCTCCCCAGGCGTCCCGGTGGCTCCATTTTGCCAGGCTGTGCTCAGGTGTTCTGGGAGAAGCCGGCACAGCTGTGGTCCCGGTGATGCCAGCACTGTGCCTCAGTTTCCCCAGCGCAGCGGGCCGTGCTGAGCGCACTGTGGGAAGGTTCGGCAGCGCGCCCCAAAGCAGCTGCTCGCAGTGCCGGCTTAATGGGCCAAACGAGCTGCTCTTTGAGAGAAGGAGGCTCCTCACCGTGTTTACCCAACGCACCTCTCAGAACCTCCCTGGCATGTTGTTTTTGTTTTTGTTTTGTTTTGTTGTTCTTTTTGCTACTTAGAAAAATAAAACAAGGGGAAAGATGAGGAAATTCAATGCAAAAATAAATAAGTAGGTAAAGGGGGGAAGTGGGGGGAGGAAAAGAAGAAAGGAAATAGAAGAAAAAGTGCCCGGGCCGGACTCTGCCGCCCCGTACCGCCCGGCACTGCGCTCCGCCGCGCTGCAGCCCCGCACCCGGCCCCGCTCTCCGGCCCCGCCCCGCGCAGCCCCGCACAGCCCCGCACCTGCCCCCGCTCCTCCGCTGGGCGTGGCCTCCCGCACCGAGCCCCGCCCCCCCCCCCCGCGCCCGGCGCCCGCCCCCGGCCCCGCTGCCCAAGTGACTCGGGCAGGACCGGCACGGCGATGACATCAGGGCTGTGACCAACTTGTTATTCGGCGGCAATCAGCTGCAATTAGGCGTTAATTAAGTATTATGAAAGTTGATTATTTAAGTGAATTCGGCTTTCGTCTCTCCGACTATGGTAAGTACGGCGCAATTGTCCTTTTCCTGCCCCCTCCCGGCCCCCCGCCGCTCGGTGCGGGCCCGGCGCGGCGCTGCGGGACGCGGACCGGCACCGGCACCGCCGTACGGAGCGGGACCCGCCGCGCCGCGCTCCGGCCGGGCGCTGTCCCCGGGTGCCGGTGCCGGGCTCCGCCGCCGCGCCCCGAACTTGGCCGGGCCCGCCAGGTGCCGCCGCTCGCACCTCGCTCTTTCACTTTTCTTTCGCTCGCCCCGCGGAAGTCGCTCCGGTGCCTCCCTCGCGCTCCGGGACCCCGGCCGGCTCCGTGCTTCCCGGCAGCCCGGCGGGACGCGGAGGGGAAGTTCGCGGGGCTTTTGCGACGATTCCGCGCTCTTTGCTGTGAGTTGTGTGGGCTGTTTTCTCTTTCATTTCTTTCCCCTGCTCAGCTTGGGCGTCTGGTCGGTGAAGGTTGCCTGTCAGGTTCCCGTGCTGTCTAAATGAAAAGGAATTTAATTTATTTGGGACGAGGCTGTGGCGGATGAGGAGGCTGCTTATTACATTTAATGAGTATTTTTTTCCAACCCGGGCATATCTGGGATGGGTTTGTTTTTGTCCTGTCCCGTGGGCCGTGCGGGTGCTCCCCACCCTCCCTGTGCCCACAGTGGGGTAGGTGGGGGTTTGGGTCCCGCTGGGGCCGATGTATGGCTTTCTGCAGCCCCTGCTCTGCCGCTCGGCCAGGGCAGACAGGCAGCGTGCTGCTGGGCACAGCCAGCGGGATGGGGTGGATGTCTGCAGGGCCTGCGGGCACTGGGCACCCAGGGCAGGGCTCCACAGGGGCTTCACCAGGCTTCACCAGGTGAGGGGACCTGCTGTCACCTGCTTGTTGGTGTCTGTGGCATGACTCCAGCTGTGACCAAATGGCAGCCGTGGGCTGGGCAGGCCGTGCCTGTGAGCACCTCGGTGAGGGCAGTGGGTGCCGGGCTCCCGTCTGTGTGTGCGTGGTTGTTGTTGTTTTTTTTTTTTTAATGAGGAGTAAGGTGGTAATAAACGGGTTGATGATTGACTGGGCCTGAACTATGTACTCAGATACTTCGATGGAGAGGATAATTTTGTCATCGTTCATTTTATCTGTCTGTGCATTTATTTGTCTATTTATGTACCTGCCTGTTTGGTGTCCCTGGCCCCCAGGACTCAGCTGCCCTCTATGGACTCGGTGCTGGGCCCCGCCATGGGCATGCGGCTGCTCCCTGCTGCATCCCAGAGTGTGGGCAGCGTGAGAGCTGGGGTGTGCGGCAGGGTGACAGCTTTGAAGAGTCGCAGACAGCTCTCTGCCCCCAGACCCATGCTCTGCAGGTCCTGGGATGGCAATGGGAGGAGCTGGGTACCATGGGCTCGGCATGGGTGGTAGAGTGGCGCTTGCTGGCTGCTCTCTGTGCCCTAAAAGGGACAGCAGAACCAGTGTGTGCCCCAGGGGACTTCCGTGGTCTCGGGAGCGATGCTCGCCAGCCTGCCCACTGCCGCGTGGGGAGAGTGGGTTTCGGTGCTCTGCTGTGGGAACGCGGGGCCGCAGCAAGCCATGGAAATGAGGATCCGGAGATCTGTTTAAGTCAGCATTATGGTCTGCGTGTGGGTGAACCCGTCTTGTCATGATCTCAGGGCAAAGACCTGCCCCATAATCACCACCTCTAACCCTTATCTGCTTGGGCAGCTGATTTCCCTCCTCGCCACCTCCTGAATTCTCTCCAAGCCCTGCGGCTGCAGCTCCCCGGAGGCAGTGCTTGAGGCTGCGTGCGCCAGCTGCTGCCTGGCACAGGCAAAGCTGGGGCTCAGTCCCAGTGGGACCAGGACTGTGGGCTCCAACAGCCTGCTTCTCCCAGGGCTTCTAGGATCCGGTGGTGCTGGGGTTGATGTTCCAGGGCCAGCAGCTTTCGCAGGGTCAGGAGTTGGAAAGAATTCATGGACGGAGTCCATACACTCAGGACCGTGGTGAGATGTTCCCTACATGTGGTGTTCTGTAAGCCAGGTTGTAAATATCTGAGTGACTGGGCACCTGTCACTTCCTTTGGGAAACTGTTCCCCAGCCTAATTAACCTTGGTATGAGATTACAGGAGCTGGTCTCGAAATGGACACTGAGGAACCTAGGGTGAACGGATTGAGAAACATCTCATTTCCCACCCAGAGGGTCAGTTTGTGACTCTTGTTTTGTTACTGCTCTTTGTAACACCCACTGGATGGGAACATCTCTGGGCTGGTGCCAGGGATTTTTTTTTGCTTTGTTTTGGCTGTGCAGATTTTTGGAGAGCTGGTTGGCTGGGCTGAAGTTGGTATCGCTGCTCTGCAGCCAGGTCCCGCAGTTGGTTTGGGAATTCTGCTCATCATAGGATGCTTGTTGGGCACAGAGCATCCGAATGTCTACGCCCACCCGCCAAGACTCTTCCAATTCAGAATTACTGACCCGGGCAGGGCTTAACCTGCCCACTGCAGCACTGGAAGGGCCTAGCTGGTTCCTGAAGAGCAGAGCCAGCTGCAGTCCGTAGGTGTTTTCCTGCTGGTTTGGTGCTAGACAGCACTAACTTGCAGGAAGACTAGAAAATCAGTCCTGGGTTAACAAGCTCCTGCTTCCTGCCTGCACCCTGTCCTGCCTGTGACCTGCTCCTTGCCAGCTACCTTCCTTGTAAGCAAACAGAAGGGTCTGCTGAGGCCTCGAGCTGCACGACAGCACTGGGAGGACAACGTGTGCGGGAAGCAGCTGTGAGCAGGACTGATCCTGCGCTGGGAAAGGGAAAGTTCTTCATGAGCAGTCTCCACACCATCAGTTTCTCTGTATTCTGAGACCGCTCGACTTGCTTCCAGCCCTCAGCCAGTCCCCTAGGCTGTCCCTATGAAAAGTTGGCAGAAAGTCTCCAGAAAGCAGCAAGGAGGCCACGGTAAGCAGAGCTGGGTGCTGTGCGTCCCACATCCCTCGGGGCTGACCATGGCTCGCAGGGCTCAGTGAGTCCCGGTGCCAGCCGGGCACAACTCCTGGGACGCTGGCACTGCGGGGTGACACTGCCCATCAGCTGCAGCTCACCTCCTCGTCCTCAGCTGCTCTTTGCAGAGCCAAGAGGGGTTGGGGAGGCTCTGCTGGCAGCAGGGAGGGGCAGGACCTGCAGCCCGAGTCCCACGCGGCCCCGTCTCCTCCCCTCCGGTTCAGCGCGGACTGGATCAATTTGGACGTCTTCAGCAATAAAAAATGCCGATGTCGTCCTAATTCACCAGGCCCCGAGATGACAGCAAATTTACATTTTTTAATTAAACTAGCAGCCAGTTTTTATGAGAGGGGGCTGGGTTATGCAAATCAAATGGTTGTGTACGAAAGATTAGGAGAGTTTGGGAATAAATTCCACAAATGCTAATAAAAAAAAAAAAAAAAGAGAGAGAAAATGAGAGGGGGGAGAGAGAGGGACATTGTTCCATTAGCCCCTTTTAGACTGATTTCCCTGAGGAGAAAGCGACGGGGGGTGAGAGATGGAGGCAGCTTTCAGAGACAGGTAAAATCCATTCTGAGGATTGAGAGCCCTTCGGACCAGGACCTTGTTGCTCTGTTTCCTCTCGCAGGGGAGGTGGAGGCAGACGCTGGTTGCAGAAGGAAAACTTGCAGCTTCTCATCCTGGTCCTGCTTGAGTGGCTGTGGACCTGTCTCTGTCCCTTCTTTCTCAAGTTCCCCTTTGGTCATGCAGTCACTATAGAAAGTGGAAGAGCCACTTTCGGGGGATAGATAGTTACAGTGAGGCAAAATCCTGCGCTTCACTCGTGTACCATATGTTCTCACTCAGATTTCCCGAAGAATTCCTCACTTGCAGATTTGCTGTCCTCCTCTATGGCTATCTCAGGGAGTGCTCAGTGTGTTGGGGAGCTGGGGGTGAAGGCGTGTGTTTGCTTTGCCATGGGGAAGCACAACCAGAAAACTGCTGGAGGCTGGGGAACTGCTCCAGGCTTCCAGTCCTATGGCAGTTTCATGCTCAGGAGAAAAGCTGAATAACCTGTGTAGGTTGGCAAAGGAGAGCAAGGGGTGGAGAGGAGATGCAAGGAAAAAGGGTGGTAAGACTGAAGTCACTAGCTGCATTTCATGGCCATCCCTTGGGGATTCGGAGCCTCACTAGAGAATTTTGCCACTCATTCTTGGTTTTGGGGTGTGAAAGGATGATTCACCCACAAGCGCATGTTTTGCTCTTGGAGAGGTGACATTTTAGCAGGGCCTCTTGTGAAACGGGTGGAAACGCCAAGCTCTGCTGGAGCGCTTCTGTTGGTGTTCCCCACACCCAACACCTACATCCCATCATCTGGTCCCACTTGAGCACCTCAGCCATTTCCATGCTCCTGGATGATCACGTGGGTGCTCACGTGCACCTGGTGGGTTGGGCTGAGCTTTGTGTTCTCCAGGTCCCTTCTTGAGGTATCGCCTTGCTCCGTGTTCTGCTTCTGTGTCTGTCATTGTTGTGATGAGTGGTCAGCAGGAGGGGATGGGCATGGTCCCCCCTGCTTCCCCCCTGGTGCTGCTCTGGCCATGCAGCGTTTTTTGCAGCGCAAGGATTTGAGCTGAACAGGCGCCAGGTTGAGCCTAAATCAAACCAGGGAAGCTCCAGAACAGGTCTGGGAGCCGTGGCAGAGGATTCAGTGTGGGATGTGTAACTCTAATCTATAAAGTGGGCATAATCACCCTCCTCTGAGCAGCCCAGAGCCAGGGCTGGGTGCTGCGGCGATGGAGATAAGCGAGGAGCTGGCTGCCAGCCACGTGGGGTGCAGGGAGGAGAGGCCGGGGCGCAGTGCTGGGCTGTGGCAGCTCCGTGTCCCCGTGGCTGTGGCACTGGGGTGGGCAGGAGGACCCGCAGGGAGGCTCTGCGTCAGCGAGGCTGGCAGGGACGGGCAGGGGATGAACCAGGAACTCAGCTTCCATACATGGGAAACTGTCAAAAGGTAGCAACACCAGCTTTTGTCTGGTATTTCCAGAAAAACCCGGTGAGACCTGGCATCCCAGGGC